ACATAAAACACCTTGAAATTATAAATACATTGGCAACAATTTTATTTTCTTTCACAAAAGAAACCAATGATAATAAAACTAAACAAAATATATGCTACATTCAAGTTCTTGAATCTAATGTTTTCAGAGGATAAATATTGTTTAAGCCACTTGTGCTTAACTTGTGAATTTTTAAAAGTGAATAAAAAGACCCCATTAGCTCGAGGGTTGAAGCAATGTTGTTGAAACAGTATCTGTCAAATAGACAATTTGTTTATTTAGGTGCTTTGTTGCTAGCAGCCTGTTAATGTTTGCAGGTACATTAAACTTATATAGCAAGGTTTAAGAGATACTTAAAATAAAATAAATCTTAAGTTATTTGTCTATGATTCAAGCACAATGACCTTTATTTCATAATAATCAATTTAGTTAAAGAAAAATGAATCAGAAAAACACATAATCACATAACTGTCAAATAACAGTTGATTAAAACAAATAAAAAAAACATTAGAACAAAATTATTTTTGTGTTTTTTTTCTTTTTCCTAATTATAATGCAAGAAGACAGATTGTCATCCTTTTCATTATGTAACTTTGATTTATAAAATGATAATAACTTGTAGTTAAAAGAAAATACTGTATAAATCAGAATATAAAGAACATTATTATTTTGTTTATTAAAGAAAATAAAATGTCTCTCTTGAGCGAGGTCTTCTGAGACCAGGGTCAAAGACAGGTGGAAATATTTATTCCCCCTCGGGGTGACCCCTACAACTTATGTCCCTGTTTTGTAGTTTCATTCATGATAAATGCAAGAAATAGAAGTTTAACAGACATAAAGTAGAAGTGTTATTAAGAAAAAATTCAAGTTAGTTGAAACCTTGCTGTTGTGTCATTTTGCTTTTGGTATGAGAACAGCTGATCTCTTCATTTCCAGGTCTTATTAATGAAAAAGTGATGTCATGGATTGTCCTAATAAATACCTGCTTATTGATTTTTTAAAACATTAAAACTCAGATTCTGCTCTGACACCTGCTGTTCTGTTTTTTTATATTTCTGTCTTCTATCAGGTCGGGTCACAGCTCCTGCCAGTCTGACTGCAGAGGCAGGACGTCCCATCGTGCTCAGCTGCAACATCACCATGGCAACAGTCGACACCGTCCGCCAAGTGCGCTGGATCAACAAGCACGGCAAGTTGCTCCTGGCGTACGAGCAACGCGTGCCGGTCCGTATCAGCCACCAAGAGCCCAACGTGAAGCTCAACGCCTCCACCAACGACAGCAGCTACATCACCATCAAGAGGGTGCGGCCGGCTGACGACGGCTGCTATCGATGTGTTTTTGATGTTTTCCCCGGCGGGCAGAAAGAAGGCTCCACCTGCATCAGTGTCACTGGTGGGCACAGTGTTTTCCTCTGTTGTGTTCCTGTTTTAAAGGGATCCATGATTAGTTGTAATATTAGACTTTATTTGATAAATATATATTTTAACTGTAAAATAAAGACTAAAAATACTGTAGGC